AGAGAGAGAGTATATATATCGTCACAAACAGAACTGCCCGGTAAACCGTAGGCAGAGAGAGAGAAGAGGACAACAAACAAGGGGCTGTGACAAACTGTTTCTATTTGGTAAACCGTAGGCAGAGAGGGAGAAAAGGACAAGAAACAAGGGGATGTAACATATATAGATAGATAGATAGATAGATAGATAGATCGTCACATGAATATCAGAGCGCAAAGGCGAAAAAAACAGAAGAAAACAAAACAAAATAAAAAACAATCGTTTTTTTTATCTTCATAGTTACAACTCCCCCTGTTGAGAACCTCTTGCGTACAAGGCCGCCCACGCGGATGTAGGTTGAGCGGCGGCGGCTGCCCCCACCCCCGTGTGTCATATCGACCCACTTGCACACAGCCAAAGGGCAAAGAGGCAAAGAAAAGAGGAAGGGAACAGCCAAATACGACAAAACAGGGGGCAACAAGCAATAGCACCAAAAACAGATCCTAGACGACAAGTCCCACATGCAAGCACTGCCCCTCCTTCACATGCCCTATATATGGTGCACTGTGTGCGCGAGCGTGGCGCCCGCCGCCCGTGCTGCGCCCTGCCCGTGCGCATCCATGCTTGTGCACTCGGTGCCGTGCACCCCGAAAATTGGAGGCCCTTGGAAATGTTGGGGAGCGGCAAGGTCACGAGGTGTGGTGGCACACCCCACCCCTTTGGGGGGAAAAAAAGATTATTTGGGCGTGCGCTCCCCCAAAGACTTTGTGTTCTGTGGATGTCACTGTGTTGATATGCATTGTCTCCTGTGTGTGTACATGTACAGAATTTCGGGTACGATACAGTCGTGATGAAGGTGTCGTCCTCCCCACTCCAACGGTTCTCATGTTGCAGTTATTGCTTGGCACAGAGAACGTCAGGACCGACAGATGTTCTTCCCCTTTATGTATTTGCTAGACGAGAACGTTCTCGACGGCAGGTTGCAACGGACGAGAAGGTTCCCGAGGGCAGGTTGCAACGGACGAGAACGTATCTTCCCCTGGAAAGTGGAAAGATGCCCCCACCATATTTTGCATGTTGCGAGGCTGTTTCGGTGCCCCTGTGGGCAGGGTCCGTAAGATAAGAGCTGACGAGCGAGCTCAACCGCTCACCACATCATGATGTGCAAAATGAGAATGAATCTTTGCCTTGAACATGGAAAAATACACCACCATTCGTGACATCCTTGTCTCTTTGGTGGATGTCACGAATGGTGGAGCTCAGCGTCGAATCTGTCACAGAGAATCGGAATGCCTACCGTCTTCACCCAAAGTGCCTACCATCTTCACCCGAATAGTACGCCCGGTCATTATCCCTGTTTCTGGACTGAAAGTTGCCCCATATACATCTATAATGACCGACCGGGCATTCTATTCGGGTGAAGACGGTGGCACAGTCTGCACAAGCACACGAATTCTAAAATGCGATACCCGGGGCCAAGTCCCACTTTCGCTGATTCTTCATTTCTGGCCGTTGATCTTGGTGATCTACGGTCAGAAGTTGAGAATTCGGGTAAGTGGGACTTGGCCCCCGAATTCGAATCGAGATGCATTCAGACGAGCAGAAGAAAAAAGATACGACTTCCGCCCTTTCAGGAAAAGACGAAAACAAGACAAAAAAAAAAAAAAATACTCAAAAAAAAAGAAAGAAAGAAAAAAAGGGCCTGCGCAGTGCGTACAGAATTGGTCCTATATCCGTTGGTACGGGCAGATTTTCCCCTCATGGGATGCTGACAGCATTAAGGCATTAAGGCGCCGTGACAAAATACAAACGGATGTATCCTCCATCGAAAGACGGCAAGATACATCCCCCTTACTAAGGGCACACTCACACTAGGACTTTGTGTTCTAAGCTGTGGACGCAATTGCAGTCAGATTCATCTGGGTCCCTCCGTAATTGCGGTCAGATACATTTCGAAAAGTCCTCGTGTGACTATGCCCTGAGAAAAGAAAGCGACATACCTTGGGGTCCTTTGAGGGCATCTGTTTTTTCTTTTCATGTCTCCTGTGCTGTGGTGTGGCACTCGTGGGCTTTCCCACATGCAGTTCATTCGCATGGGCCCCTCTCCCTCTCTCACGTCTGTTTTTTCTTCTGCATGTGGTATAAAGACATGCAGCGCAATGATCATTGGGCTGCCTGTCCATGTCTGAATGCGCGTAAGTGCAGCTCACACATGCAGTTCATTCGTATGGGCCCCTCTCCCTCTCTCTCGCCTGAACTGCACTTGCGCGCATTCAGACGTGGAGAGAGAGAGAGAGAGAGAGAGAG